TGTGGTGTGCGCAGGGCGCCTGGCGGCCGTCCCTCAGCATCGCCACGGTGCTGGCCTCCATCCAGCTGCTCATGGCCGAGCCCACGGACGACCCCTGTCTGTGTGCGCAGGGCGCCTGGCGGCCGTCCCTCAGCATCGCCACGGTGCTGGCCTCCATCCAGCTGCTCATGGCCGAGCCCAACCCGGACGACCCGCTCATGGCCGACATCGTAAGTGTCCTCGTCTCCTCTCTGGACCCCGGGCCCCGTCAGCGAGGTGGCTGAGCCCTGACGGAACTCCCCAGGGCGGGTCCTTTTTCCCTCCACTCACGCCTTCCTCTGGTTCTGTCTCAGTCCTCAGAGTTCAAATACAACAAGCCCGTCTTCCTCAGCAACGCCCGGCGGTGGACAGAGCAGCACGCGAGGCAGCAGCAGGTGTGTTTGCGCGGCCCTGGTGCTCTGCCGCCGTCGGCCCGTCACGAGGGTCTGCGTTAGGCGCCTGTGGATGTGCCTTCACCACATCTGTACTGGGCCGCGCTCTAGGCCAGCGTGGGCGTCTTCTCCGCCTGCAGCCTTCTGACTAATGACTCGGCAAAAGGTTTCTCCTAACTGTTGTCACCCACGGACATCCCTAGAGGGCAGGCAGCCGCGGGGTAACTCATATTCTGGGCGGCAGCACAGATGGACGAGAGGGGACTCCAATTCTTTTCCCTGAGATTTCGTTTTAGCCCCGAGGAGGGACTGCTGCAGGAAGCGGCAAGGGGAGAGGGTGCAGGAGGGAGGGGAAGTGGACTTTTCTGTGGGACCATTCTCGGGAGAAGGAAAGCTTCCCCGGGTTCTAAGTAGCAGTGTTACCCGTGGGAAGAAATAAAGATTTAAATCATACAGCCCCAGCCGGTTTGGCTCAGTGGATAGAGCATCGGCCCGTGGACTGAAGGGGCCCGGGTTCGTTCCAGCCACTGAAGGGTCCCAGGTTGCAGGCTTGATCCCAGCCCTGGTCAGGGGCCCGTGCAGGAGGCAATCAATCGATGTGTCTCTCTCACATCGATGTTTCTCTCTCTGTGTCTCTCCCCCTCCCTTCCACTCTCTCTAAAAATCAACGGAAAAATACCCTCGGGTGAGGATTTAAGAGAAAACATACGGAGGTTGAGGAAGATGCCGGTGGAGGGAGTAGCATGTGCAGGAGGCAGCAAGGAGGCACTTGGGGGTGACACCGCAGGGCGCTGGCGCTGGTGTGATCCTCAGGTTTTCCTCCGTAGGGTGCCGAGGAGGTGCCTGGGAACCCGCCTGCGGCCGGCGATGCAGAAGCACATGGCACAGCACCGAAAAGGAAGGCGGAGCCGCCGGGAGGCCCGGGCAAGAGGTTCTGCGATGGCGTCTAGGGCTCGGTCCCGGTCCCGGTCCCGGTCCCTCCGGTCACTGCTCTCTGTCAGGGTGGCCCAGCTTGCCCGCCCGTCTCCCGTGTTCTCTGTGTATGTGACGGCGCGACCGTTTCTGCCTCTCATAAAACAGACCTTGTGTATTTATATTTCCTGCCCTACACAGATCCTCTAAGTGGAGTTTGTTTTATTCCGCTTGTGCCTATGTATTTGGAGACCTTTTAAACCTGAAAAATAAATAACCGTTTAATGTGGAGCGTGTTTATCCTGGATGTGGCCCCGGGGATGTTAAACGAGTGAGGGTGTTACACTGGCCGGGTGTGTTGTCCTTTGTTTTGCCAACTCGCCCACACCCCAGGGACCCAGGGTGGTTGGCGTGGATGTACAGGAGCTGCTACAGACAGTTCCACGGCCTTCAGGGGTTCTGGGGTTCAGAAGTCTGGACACAACGTGGGAGTAAGGTGACGTGCGCTTTTGTTAATTTTTGCAGCTTTCGCTTTTTGTGAACGACACAGCCGGTCAGAATCGCTGTGGTGAAACCATTTGTTCCACAAATATTTATTGGACACCTACTCTGTGCCAAGTTCTATGCTAGTGTTTTCGAAGACAATGGTGAGGCCCTGGCCGGTTTGGCTCAGTGGATAGCGCGTTGGCCTGCGGACTGAAGGGTCCCGGGTCGATTCCGGTCAAGGGCACATGCCCCAATTGTGGGCTCGGTCCCCAGTAGCGGGCAGGCAGGAGGCAGCCGATCACTGATTGTCTCATTGATGTTTCTATCTCTCCCTCCCTCACCCATCCTCTCTGAAATCAATAAAAATATATTAAAAATAAAACGTGACCCTGTGCTATATAATAATGAATAGATAATGTACTACATTTCAACCAACTCCCTAAAGACACAGCACAAATAACTTTCTGAGAATGCTCCAAATATTTTAAAGAAAAATAAAGAATACAATGGCGAAATCAGACGTGGATTGATTAAACAATCTTACAGACGTTGGGATTTTTACAAACCCTTTCTGTCCCTCGCTCCATTTCCAGGCGAGTCCTGCTCAGAACAGCTGGGTGCCAAAGCCGCGTCCCCTCCCAGGATGGGGGGTCCACATGGACACATCCCCATTGCTCCGTCCGGCGACAGAGGGAACAGACAGAACAGGGATGGCCTCTCACTGTGGGCTGGGTCCCTGGGACAGGCGAGCTGAGCGACCCCGACCCTATTGAAAGAGGCGCCCGGGACGGATCCTGTAAACACTGCACATTCCAACCTCCCTCCCCTGCGCCCCCTCCCTCCTCCCAGCCGCTCCCCAAAAGCATCTAAACCAGATCAGCCTTTACCACCCACCGCGTGGGCAGCCTCCCTCCTCCTGAAAGAAACGAATTGAGCACCTACTGTGGGAGGCCCTGGGAAAGGGCCGTGGATATAGGAGTGAGAGACAGGCCGGGTGGGCCTTTCTGGCCTCGCCCACGCATAGCCCTTCTCTCCGGGCAGCCCTGTCCCGCCCACGCTGACCCTGCACGGACACAGAGTTCAGTCCCACTGCGCCCAGTTGACTAGGAGAGGACCTGGCCCGAGAGGGTTCGACCTCAGCTGACCACGGACCTGTGGTTGGCCTAGGGTGGGTGGAGAAGGAAGCTACTGGCGGGGGGTCACTCAGTCTCCCAGGACATCACCTGGGACACACCCAGAGGAACCCAGGCCGGGACGGGAGGACCAGGAGGGCAAGCCCGATGACAGAGTGGCTGGAGGAACCCGGGATACCGGGGCGGGGGGAGGGGGGCCCAGCTCGAGTGCCGTCCGCTCAGCAGCCGTTGTGAATAAACCCAGACAGCGCCAACAGGAGCAAGGGGCCGAGCAAAGGCCGACTTACTTACAACGGTGGCTCTCTGCATTGCAGGGTCACTCACCCCAACTGCACCCCAGGACCCGGGTCGCCAGGGGGGAGCCGTGGGGTCACAGGCCTCCCAGGCCTCTCAGCTCCGACTCTCTTGTCTCCGGCTCAGGCCTGGGCGCTCCTCCTCCTGGGAGACCCGCCCTCCGGCCTCCGGAGCACCTGACAGGAATGCGCCTACAGGGGCTGCAGGTGGAGGGACCGGCCTGGGCTTCAGGTCACCGCTGCCTCCTGGGCTGACCCAGGTGCCCGGAGAGGGACGCGCAGGGACACCCGCGGTACATCACTGGGCTTTATTGTACAGAAGAGCCCGAATATTTACATCGTGGCCGTTCTCACACTTCACACAGCGGCTGGGGAGTGGGGCTGGAACCAGGAGTGAGTGACGGGGGTGCTGGGGGGAGACGTGGCCGCCCCAGAGCAGAGGTAGTTAGAGGTGAGCCAGGAGGGGTGGGGGGGACCCCGGGCATCTGTCACTCAGGCTCCTCAGCCCCGCCTCCAATCCTTACTGGGTGCACCGGTGAATAATGTGGGTTTTTCTCAATAGAGGGGGTTACACACATGTGGATATGTATGCGATTTGATATGTGTGCTATGTTGCTGTATTGCTCCCTCAGGTGACCACTTGTTCCGATCGACGGCACACACACTTTCTGAGCAGCGCTTCAAAACGTGCGAAGAAGTGGACAATTGGGTCTCTGAATGGTCTGCCTCAAAACAAGAAAAGTTCTATTGGGACGGTCTCCACAAATGACCCGAAAGACGGGGGAATGTGTAGCTGGCGATGGACGTGACTTTGAACAAAGCACTTTTGATGTTTCTCTTGAAATTATCGTGTTTTCTTTGGTGACCAAACCCGCATTATTAACCGGTAAAGGGTCAATCCGCATTACTAACCGGTATCCGCATTACTAACCGGTACACCTAGTAGGCCTTTCATTCTTCCTGGGAAGGAGGTCAAGGAGCTGCAGGCTCCATCCATCCACAGTCTTCAAATCAGCACCAAATTCAGGCGCCTTGGGTCAGGGCCCTCACGGACGGTGGCGTCCTGTGGTGCCGCCATCCTGTGGGGCCACCGGGCGGGCGGAGACGAGGCCCTGGGAGGCACAGGTGCGAATCCTCTGAGACTCGGCCAGCTAATCCACGAAAACCAACCAGGCAAACGGAACCCATTGTCAAGCCACGTGGGAACCGGGGAGACGCCGTCGGCAGAGCCTGCACTGCCCGACCCGCGCGGTGACCCTCTGAGGAAGGACGCCACGTGTCACGTCTTCCCACACGCGTCGTCACGGCACACGTCCAGGTTCGAGAGACACAGAACATGGGTTGGGTCCAATCCGTGAGCCACGGGGAGACGCCCAGCTGCCTCTGTGGTCCCTTGTAGGCCGTCCTCCATCAGGGCCCAGACCCGGGGCCTGCTCAGCACCCCAACTTCCAGATCTCGGCTCCACAGCCTCCGATGTGACCGGGAAGAGGCCTGAAGGAAACCAGCTACGCAGCCACAGGAGACCAGCGAGCCGGGGCCTGGGCCACCCTCCCGCGGGCCACACGGCTGCGTGGGGGCTGAATTTATTTTACAAACAGCCATCGTTCGCGGAGGGGGGGGAAGGAGGAGGCGGAGACAAGGATGGGGGCGCCATTTATAGGTGGGAGGCAAAGGCTGAGCCTGAGGGCTGGATGCCCCTGCCCGCCGCCACGCCCCCGCCACCAGGTGCGGCCCCCTCTGCCCTCAGCAGCAGCTCTCTGTCCATGGGGGGTTGCTGGTTCCCAAAGTGGGTTCCCTCTGGCTCAACCAAGTGGCTGCCCTGTGGCCTGGGGCTCTCTGGCTGTGGGCAGGAGACGAGGGTGCCCGTGAGGAAGCCGTAGGTCTCCGGCCCTGGGGGCCGCCCAGCCTCGGAAGCTTCCAGAACGAGATCCATGTCGGAGAAGGCCACCAGGGCCTGCGTGGAGTCGCAGGAGCTCTT